AGATGGTGTTTCTGAGCTTTCCAGGAACACATTGGACGTCAGTGAAAGTGGGAGGCAATGGAGAGGGGGCAGCATTGGAAGCTCAGCGTTTGTCTGATCGGGTATATAATTTGTAGTGACCCCAAAAAAGGTGACTTCTCCCATCCAAGTACTAACCAGGTGCGACCCTCCTTAGTTTCCAAGGCCAGACGAGATCAGGCACCTTCAGGGGGGTATGTCCGTCGACAAAAAAGGTGACTTCTAAATAAACTGAGATGAGACCAATCCGTGTCCACTTGGTGGTCTTCTGGAGGCAGCTGAGGGGCCCTGGACTGTGTGTCCGTCCTCCCCTGGCAGGGACACTGCCTGGCTCCCAGCCTGTGGTGTGTGTGTGACATGCAGTGGGCACACAGGCTTTTGTTGAATCTTTTGAAGATAAAACTAAGGTGTTATGTTTTATTCTCCTGCTCAGATTACCCGGAAGTTCAGGCTGAATTCTGAAGGCAAACTTGAACAGACAGTCTCCATGGCAACCACTACACAGCCAATGACCCAGCATCTTCACGTCACCTACAAGAAAGTGACCCTGTAACCTAGAGTTTCTGGAGCCCTCAGGAGGGCCTGGCTACCGCGTCTCAACGGTTCGGCTCCTCGGCAGACAGTCCCTGCAGCAGAAGTGGGTGTGGCCGTGAGCCTCTCCAGGCTCAAGAGGGTTGTCCAGAAAGTCCTGTACTGGCATAGAAAAACCAAATAAAAGGCCTTTATTTTTATGGCTGAGGATTTTGAATATTATCACTTGTGTAGGCTGTACATTTTTTTATCTGCTGATGTTTGTTTTCCAAAGTCTTCCCTAAGAAATTAAGAAGGGGGCCTGGCACGGTGGCTCACGCCTGCAGTCCCAGCACTTTGGGAAGCCAAGGCAGGTGGCTTATCTGAGGTCAGGAGTTCAAGACCAGCCTGGCTAACATGATGAAACCCCGTCTCTACTAAAAATACAAAAAACTAGCCTGGTGTGGTGGCATGTGCCTGTAATCCCAGCTACTTGGGAGGCTGAGGTAGGAGAATCCCCTGAACCCGGGAGGTGGAGGTTGCAGTGAGTGTAGGGTAGGTTGGGTTACCCTGAAGTACGGTTCATACTAGAAAGGCAGCATAAACAGTTCTTTCCCTTTAATGTTCAATTTTTGGAGTAAGAATGTCCTGGCACCCTCAGTGGTGCCCAACGGACTGAGAGTTCCCCATGCCACTGCACTGACCCCTCCCCGCATCCCTCCTCGTGTTACACACTTAATACTCTCGTGCGTACAGTCTGTCCTCAGTATCCACAGGGTGCGTCACAGGACCCACACGGATGCCAAAATCAGATGCCTGAGGCCCTCGTGTGAACGGCGTGGGATTTGCCTGCACCTACGCACGTCCTCACGTACCATAAGTCACCTCTAGGCTGCCTCTAACACCTGATACAGTGAAAATGCACTGTAAACAGCTGTTACACCGTATTTTTTTGGTGTGTTTTTTATTGTGGGCTTTGGGAGTATTTTTTTACACACAGTTGAATCCACGATTTTTTTTTTTTTGAGACAGAGTTTCGCTCTTGTTGCCCAGGCTGGAGTGCAGTGGCGCGATCTCGGCTCACCGCAACCTCCACCTTCTGGGTTCAAGCAATTCTCCTGCCTCAGCCTCCCGAGTAGCTGGGACTACAGGCATGCGCCACCATGCTCAGCTAATTTTTGTATTTTTAGTAGAGACGGGGTTTCACCATGTTGACCCAGGATGGTCTCGATCGCTTGACCTCATGATCCACCCGCATCGGCCTCCCAAAGTGGAATCCATGATATTTCAGTCAAGTGCTGCCTTTGTCTCTTGCAAACAGGAGATGCTCAGATTACCTCAGAGTTGGCCAGAGGAGCCCCTCCATCCAGTGGGCTTTGACAGGCTCCTTGCTCTGGGCCACAACTGCCTCTGACTTTTCCTGCCCAGAACCTGTAACTACACATTCCTCCAGAGCCCTGGTTCTTACTAGTGGGGAGTGGGAATTAGAGGCCACAGACTGAGCACAGACTGTTACCACGGCTGGGCTGCTCTACTTCCCACCTCTTGGTGGATAAAACCAGAACATTGTTTTAAAATTTATTTTCTCAGCCACGTGCAGTGGCTCACACCCATAATCCCAGCACTTTCTGAGGTGGGTGGATCACATGAGGTCAGGAGTTCAAGCCTGGCCAACATGGTGAAACCCCATCTCCACTAAAAATACAAAAAATTAGCCAGGCGTGGTGTGCGCCTGTAATCCCAGCTACTCGGGAGGCTGAGGCAGGAGAATTGTTTGAACCCAGGAAGTGGAGGTTGCAGTGAGCTGAGATCACGCCATTGCACTCCAGCCTGGGCAATGGAGATTCTGTCTCAAAAAAAAAAAATATATATATATATATATATATATATATAGATATATAGATATATAGATATATAGATATATAGATCTCTATCATGTAACCTCACATGATTCTGAGAAAATAAACCATATGTTCTGGTTTATTTTCTCTGAATCATGTGAAATTACATGATAGAGATCAGGACCCTTCACCCCTAACTAATTTAGCATGGGAAATACACATTTTTTAAAAAAATATGAATTCATACTGTTTTCCATTCAAATTGTAAGATTATAAGGGTTTTTAAATACTCTTTGATTTCACCTCAAGCTGGAAACCTTGTTTCATTACAACATTAACATTATTTGCTTTATTCTACATATAAATACATATAATCATTTCAAAATAAGCCTGGGCAACACAGTAAAACCCCGCCTCTGGCAGAGAAAGTATTAACAGTGACTACTGGTCAAAGTGTTTTTCCTGCTAGCCTTTTTAGACTTTTCCCTTGGAAGATACAAAGTTAAGCTGTGATATAATTGGAATGATTAGTCTGTGTGCTTCTGTCACCAACTTGATACACAGCCTGTTTATTTTAATTTCTAGAATTGTTGTAATTTGTTTCATGAATGTAAATCATTTTACTGGCTTTATTGTCAGAACTGTAAACCGGGCACGTTTGCTCGACACAGGCTCAGGCACCGCTGCTGAGTGCTCCAGTCAGATCGCCGGGGCGTTTCCAGTCTTTGGCTAATCAAATGTCAGAGCGGGACCCACTGCCTGCACGGGGCCGCAGAATGCTCATCTTAGAAGGGCATTTCCACGTCCTTGCGGATTCTGGCCATCATATCGTCAGGATGCATTTCTGGGAGTGGGATTGCCTGTCGCCGGGGAGAGTCTCCTCTGGCTTATCTGGGTGTTGTCCCTGTCCCCACGGGGCCAGGCGTTCCGCATCCCCACAGCATCGTAGGAAGTGCCTGTCCCCTCAACAGCCAAATCTGGTGTCAAATTTGGATTTCGGTCAATCTAGTAGGTGAGAAATGGAGTCTGGGGTGGTTTTGGTTTGCATTTCTTTTTTTAAAAAATCATTTTCTTGATTTTCCAAGCTCATGGGCTCTGAAAGGTATATTAAGCCTAATAGGCCTCATTTTAATTTATAATTTTTGAGGTAAAATATACAAAAAAACTAACATTTTTATCAGTCCTATAGATGGTTTAAAAAATTCACCATTTTAACCATCTTAAAGTTCACAATGTAGCAGCATTTAGTATGTTTACAATGTGCGACTGTCACCTCTGAGTGCTTCCAAAGGTTTCATGACCCTGGGAGGAGACCCTGCCCTCACTCATGCCATCCCCGCACCCTCCGGCCCTGACAGTCACTGCCCCGCTTCCCAGTCAAGTCAGCAACACTTCTGAAAATACTCTATGTTATGAAACACTTTTTCCAGTGTATGTTTTGTCTTTTATTGCTCCTGGGTTTTAAGCCCTGTTTAGGAAGCTTGTACCCGCTCCCCAGTGATGACGGGACTCACTCGCTTTTTCCTAGCCCTTTTGATCCATGTGGAATTTGTCTCAGTGTATGGTGTGAAGTGCAGATTCCTTTTAGTCTTTTTCCAAGAGGTTAACGTTTAGCATTCATTCGCAGTCAGTCCTTCCCTGGCATCCCATGTCACCTTAGAGACTTACTGTCTAGGCCCTGGGGCCTGTTCCTCGGTTTTCATGGTGCCTCCCTGTCTACATGGGTCCTGGTGCCATGTGGCTCCATTACAGAGGCCAGGAGATGGTTCAGCAGCACAGGACGAGTCCCTTCACATTTCTTTTTCAGGGTTTTCCGTGCTATTTTTACACTCTTGTGCACTTTCTCTCTCACATGAACTTTATAATTAGAAAACATTCTGGTGTTTAGAGCTGGGCACAGAGAGGCTCACGCCTGTAATCCCAGTACTTTGGGAGGCCAAAGTGGGTGGATCACCTGAGGTCAGGGGTTCGTAGACCAGCCTGACCAACATAGTGAAACCCTGTCTCTACTAAAAACACAAAAAATTAGCTGGGCGTGGTGGTGCATGCCTGTAATCCCAGCTACTACGAAGGCAGAGGCAGAATTGTCTAAACCCAGGAGGCAGAGGTTGCGGTGAGCCGAGACTGTGCCATTGCACTCCAGCCTGGGCAACAAGAGTGAAACTCCATTTCAAAAAAAAAAAAACATTCTGGTGTTTAAGGATGACACTAAATTTACTTTATAAGGATTACATTACTTTTGTAGAATTGTCTCGCTCATGAGTGTTTTCTTATCCAGGAACATGGTATTTCTTTTTTTTTTTTGAGACGGAGTCTCTGTCGCCCAGGCTGGAGTGCAGTGGTGCGATCTCAGCTCACTGCAGCCTCCACCTCCTGGGTTCAAGCGATTCTCCTGTCTCAGCCTCCTGGGATTACAGGCACGTGCCACCACGCCCTACTGATTTTTGTACTTTTAGTACAGACAGCGTTTCACCATGTTGGCCAGGCTATTCCCAGACTCCTGACCTCAGGTGATCCACTTGCCTTAGCCTCCCAAAGTGCTGGGATGACAGGCGTGAGCCACCGCACCCAACCCTTCGTCTGAATTCGTTTTCTGTTGCTGTGACGACTGAATACCACAGAGTGCGTAAGTTATAAAGAAAAGAATTTTATTTATTGCAATTCTGGAGGCAGGGAGTCCAAGGTAGGGCATTGCCTCTGGTGAGGGCCGTGTTGCTGGCGGGGACTCCACAGTGTCGAGGTGGTGCCGGTCGCCATGTGAGGGGCTCATGGGAGACCCCTGGTGATAACCGCTCCACTCCCTGATAACCCACTAGTCCGTGAATGGACTAGTGTCTCATGACCCAGCCACCTTCTCAGAATCTCATCCCAACACTGCTGCACTGGAGTCCACGTTTCCAACACATGAACTTTTGGGGGATGCATAGTTCAAACTCTGGTATTGAAGCCTACTTCGGTGTCTTTATGGTATATTTGAAGTTCTTCTCATTTAGGGTTTCATATTTCTTTTATGTGGAGGGATTTTTATCTTGTTGCTGTTAAAAATGGGTCATCTCTTCCATTCTGTCTTTTAACTGAAAGTGCTGCTTTAAATCCTGCTGTTTCATTCTCTTAGTGTTTGTAACAGCACTGTCTTGTGCTGGAAATGTAACAAAGTATTTGATCCAGGAAGCATCTGACAGAAGCCTGGGCAAGAGGGGCACCTTGAGCTGGCTTCGCTTTCCCCCTTCCTCTGTCCCTCCTCCTGCCTTCTTTCCTTCTCTCCCATCTGCTGTCTACCAGGCAGGCATCACCAGACCACCCCAAGGGTCCCCTCTTCGTGTTTCTTGAGGCTGCATTATGGGGCATGATAGGGGAAGGCAGGGCTTCAAAGGAGGCACTCGGGGGAGGGGCCCGGGAAGGGCAAGGAGAGGATGGGGCATGTGACAGGCCTCGTCCTCAAGCTTTGTCAGAAGGCTAATGTGCCCTGTGGCCTGAGCTGGGTCAGACGTGCTTGAACAGGAGAATGTCAGCAGGGCCTGGTGGCTCACGCCTGCAGTCCCAGCACTTTGGGAAGCCAAGGTGGGTGGGTCCCTTGTGGTGAGTTTTGAGACCAGCCTGGCCAACATGATGAAACCCCATCTGTATAAAAAACGCAAAAACTAGCTGGATGTGGTGGCAGGCACCTGTAATCCCAGCTACTCAGGAGGCTGAGGCACAAGAATCACTTGAACTGGGAGGCAAAGGTTGCAGTGAGCCAAGACCGTGCCACTGCGTCTGGACGACCGAGCAAGGCCCTAAAAAGGGAGGAATGTCCCTGTATCAGAAAGCAGGACGGTGGGGCCTGCCTGGGACCCCAGCCCTGCAGTGAGTGAGATGGACACAGGAGGCCAAAGTGAAAGGAATGAAAATGAGCTGGACAGATGGGGGACAGGAGCGCCAGGCCACAGGGCACTCTGGCAAATGTTCCTGGATGGATGGGGGGACTGAGGAGCGCCGGGTCACAGGGCACCCTGACACTTGTTCCCAAGGGTAGGGGAGCTCTGGTGTGGCACACAATATCAGAAGATAGCCTCCATTACAGGGGTTATGGGCGACTCATGTGGAGATTTTAGAAACATCTCACACTTCATGTTTTGTTCTATCAGGTTCAGCCACCCGTGTCCAGTGTCCACAGCAAGGTCTATGCAGGGTCTCAGGGAAAACAGGGTGGTCCATCAGGCCAGCCCTCAAGAGGCCCCATCCTGGAGAAGCAGGTACACAAAGCTGAGGGACACAGGTCACAGCGGTGGGCCTTCCTACATGGCTCCCTGGCCACAGCACCACAGCACCAAAGAGCCACTGCTGGAGAGGCCAGCAAGCCTGCAGCAGACCTGAACCAGAGTTCCTGGGCACGGCCCACGCAGCCAGTCCGGAGCCTCCTTGCTGAGGGTCGAGGAAGGCTTGGGATGCTGGCATTAGGGCTGGGTCCTGAGGGGTGATGAGGGAGAGCAGAAGAGGAGGAGGAGGGGGTAAAGGCTGCAGGGGGAGGAGGAGGGGGTAAAGGCTGCAGGGGGAGGAGGAGGGGGAGGGCTGCAGGGAGGAGGAGGAGGGGGTAAAGGCTGCAGGGGGAGGAGGGGGGAGGGCTGCAGGTGGGGGAGGAAGAGAGCCCCAGCTTCCTCAAGTGCTGGGATTACAGTCAGGAGCCACCACACCCAGCCTTTTTTTTTTTTTTTGAGACAGGGTCTCAGGTACCCAGGCTGGAGTACAGTGGCACAATCACAGCTAAGTGCAGCCTCAACTTCTCAGATTCAAGCAATCCTCCCACCTCAGCCTCCAGAGTAGCTGGGGCCACAGGTGCAATCCATCATGCTTGACTAATTTTATTTTTGTAGAGATGGGATCTTGTTATATTGCCCAGGCTGGTCTCGAACTCCTGGCTTCAAGCCACCATCCTGCCTCCCAAAGTGCTGGGATTACAGGTGTGAGATACTATACCTGGCCCCATTGTACTCTAGTTTGACCTGTGTTGTAAAGCCACCCAGAACCCTGTCTTCTGTAAGTAATAAGGAGCATCCAGGGTGACACTCTGCATATCTCTATTACCACGTCACACCATGGACTACTGGTGTTTTACTACCTGAAATCGGCATTAGTGCCTTTAAGTCTAATCGGGATAAAGAACCAATTCCAAGAAGCCTCCCATCCCCACCCTCTCGCCACTCCCCCAGCCCCCATTATTTTCAAGCAAACCCTCCATACCTTTGACTATTTTAGGCAGAGTGACTTTGTCTGAAATGAGACAACTGTTTGGAGAAGTGCATCACCACCCCGTGCCCTCCGGTGGGGCCTGAATGCCAGGAGTCCAGGGCTGGCTTTCTGCAGGGGCCTCTTGTCCTGGCACGTGGCCCACCCCAGCAGGAAGCCTGGCATGGAGGGCTCAGGTGGGCAGTGTGTGGAGGGCAGGCTGCTAGGCCAGGCCTCCCCGAAGGACGGCCTCACGTCCAGCCTGTGCTATCTCCTGAGCGCTGTGCTTCTCTGGAGCAGGATGGGCTGGCTCAGGACTCCCAGAAAGATGCCTCACAGGTGCCCAGAAATGTAGGCATCAAGGGAGGCTGCCTGTGGGCGGCTTGGGCTTCAAGTGCACCCTGGGGCTAGGGTCCCAGATATAACAGGCACATCCCCAAATGACTGTAAAAGGATGGGCACAAAAACAGCAGGGGGGGTCACCCTCACCCTTGACTGACGTGAACCTGGACTGGGAGCAGACTCATGCAATGTTCCTTCTCGGCCATAGGTTCCACATCCAGTGGTCAGGTGTGCTGGCCTGGAGCCTGCTGGCCCCGGTCCCCACCACACAAGGACCCTGTCACAGGTCGGGGACATACGCTTCCTCGAGAATCGGATTAAGCAACCAGCATACGAGCCTTACGCTCTGAGTCCCCACGGCTCTTCCAGCTTTGTCCAGGCCACAGTCACCTTCAGACTGAATGTGTGGGGCCCCTGAGGACTCATGTCCTGAGACAGCCCCTCTTCTTGGGATGGGATCCCGCGCATCAGGTGAGAGCAGGGTGTTCCCAGCCCCTTCATCGGGGGCCTGGGCGTTGACCCTGACCTTCCTGGACCCAGAAAGAAAAAGGAAGACAGAGGTCCCAGGAAAAGGGGCACCAGCAGGGAGGGTGGCAGGGTGGCCCAAAGCCCAGCTCCCAGGCTCAGGGAAGCCCCTCCCTGCTCACCCCTTCCAGAGGGCTTGGGTCTGCGAAGGAACAGGGCTTGCGGAGGGTCTCCAAGGATTAGAGTGCTCCAGGCTCAGGTGGGGAGGAGGGAGATGTGTTCGGTGCTGAGGGCCTCCTGTGTCAGGCCCAGAGGGCCAGGCTGCAGGCCCAGATGAGCTCCCAGGTGGGCAGCTCATCTCTCTGGCAGGAGCACGAAGAAGGCAGCCTTCAGGAAGCGGCCAAAGCTGCAGAGTGCGGCGAGCAGCCAGTGGGAGCGGAGGCCAGGGTCCGTGTTGACCACACACTTGAGGACATCAGTCTGGGAGGGAAGAGGGGGACTATGAGAGCAGAACCAGCACCGCCGGACCTGCCCGGCACTGCCAGACCCCCAGCACCATGCACTAGAACATCAGCCAACTGCTTGAGGGAACGCAGGAGACTGGTAGGAAAGGAGGTCTGTGACCTGTACTGAAGCCTCCAGCACAGGACTAGAGCCTACACAGTGCACATTCAGACAGCGTGAAGCTCCAGGAGGCACCCCAGTGAGGACAGAGGGCAGCCAGGCCGGGCAGAGGGCAGGAGAGAGGCCTGCGTGGCCCTCGCTGGGACTCCAGGCATCCTAGACCAGGGTGCCGGCTCCTCTCAGCCACCTGCCTGCTGCCCCCCGAGGGGCTACAAGTACCCCCACATCCTCCTGTTGGGCCTTGGAGCCTGGGCTGCCAGGAAGGGGCAGACCCAGCTTCATTCAGACTCTGCCTGGAACAAGAGCAGGGCCTGCGCTTCCAGAAGCCCAAGGAGTCCCTGGACTCTGAAGCTCCTTCTGGGTGAGTAAATGAATGTCCACTCCAATTCTCTTCTGCCCTTCACTTCCTGATAATAAATGAAGTCTTTTCCCTGCAGCCTGGACCTGTGTCCTTGGCATTGCTCAAGGTGTCCTCGCCCACTGGGCACACAGTGCCCCATGCCAGGCTCCACAGGAGGAAGGCAGGAGGGGATGGAAGTCTTGGGGTCTCTGCTGAGGGATGCCTGTGTGTGACATCCTGGGACAGGGCCCTCCCCCACCCCCAATTCAGCCTTCAGAGGAGACCACAGCCCCAGCAGACCACCTGACTTCAACCTCACAAAATGCTGAGCCAAAGGCCCCAGCAGAGGGGTCTGAGCCCTGTCACCCTGGCCACTGATGCACACACCCGCCCCAACACCCACTGTACAGGAGAGAACACTGGACTCCAGGCAGGGGAGCTGCTGTCCCCACCCAGGCCCCAGCAGCACCTGCGGTCTGGGCAGGGCAGAGCAGGAAATTGGGAGCCTGGAGACAGAGAAAGGGTTTGGCTCTGACACCAACCCCTCAGGGCCTTGCTTTTCCCACTTGGGGTGGGCAGCAGGTCTTAAGCACAGGGTAAGTCAGTGCTGGATCTGGGCAGAGAAGAGAGCCCAGGGCCTGCCTGAGGGTCTCAGCCCTTGCCCCACCCCTGCCTCACCCATCTACCCCAGCAGTGTCCAGGTGCTCACCCACCCACCCACCCTCCCCGTGCCCCGCACCCTCACACCCCAACTCTCTCCTGCCCCCACAGGCGCTCAGGTGCTCACCCATCCACCGCGCCTCCGCAGCCAGGTGGCCAGGGTCTTGCGCACAAACTCTCCCAGGCAGTCAACAAGGGCGTGGACCATGGCAGGCTGGGCCTGCCTCACGCAGTCCACGGCCAGCCCTGCGGCCACCGCATACAAGGACACCACCTTGCCCCATGTGATGCCTGGAGGGAGACAGATGGTCAAGACCAGGACTTGAATCCTGCCCACGGGAGCCCAGGAAGGGGCTGGGCCCCTCTGAGCCGATGTCCCGCTTATTGTCCAGCACATAACCACAGACTGTCCCAAGTGGGGGACCCCTCCCTGACAGGACACCGGCCAGCTGGCCACCTTGCCCACCTTCTCAGGTAGTTCTCGGACAGCAGGTTATTCAGTGGCTGAATAATATTCCTCACGATGGACACACTGCATTTTGTCTATCCACTTATCAGCCTTTAGCCAATAACCTTCGGCTCTTACACAGAATGCTGCTATGAACACTGACGCACAGTTTTTTGTGAGGATTTAAGTGTCCACATCCCTTGAGAGCACACCTGCAGGTAGATTTGCTGGGTCACATGGTAACCCCATGTTTACCCGTCTGAGGAACTACCGGGCTGCTTTTTCCAAAGCAGGTGTGCCATCTAACAGTCCCACCAGCAGAGCACAAGTGTCTGGCTTCTCCATGTCTTCAAGAACACCTGTGGTCACCTGACTTTTTCTTTTTTTTTGAGATGGAGTTTTGCTCTGTCACCCAGGCTGGAGTGCAGTGGCACAGTCAGCCCACTGTTGGGATTATAGGCGTAAGCTACTGCACCTGGCCTTTTTTTTTTAAGAATAGGGTCTCCTTTCATCGCCAAGGCTGGAGTACAGGGGCATGATCATAGCTCACTGAAGCCTTCCACTCTAGGACTCCAGTTTCTCCCACCTCCGCCTTCTGAGTTGCTGGGACTATAGGCATGCACCACCGTGCCCGGTTAATTTTGTGTTTTTAAATTTTTTTGTAGAGATGGGGTCTCACTATGTGGCCTGGACTGGTCTCCAACTCCTGGGCTCAAGCAGTCCTCCTACCTCAGCCTCCCGAAGTGCAGGCATTACAGGAAAGGAGGCTCGGATTTGCATTTCCCTAGTGACTGGTGGCCCGGTACATCTTGCGGGGTGCCTGGCAGTCACTGAGACATCTTCCTTGGAGAAACATCTATTCCAAGTCTTTGTTTTCCCTTTGGAGCCAGAGCCTTGCTCTCTCACCCAGGCTGGAGCACAGTGGCACAATCTCAGCTCACTGCTACCTCCCGGATTCAAGTGATTCTCCTGCCTCAGCCTCCCAAGTGGCCGGGATTACAGATGCCCACCATTCCACCCAGCTAATTTTTGTATTTTAGTAGAGACAGGGTTTCACCATCTTGGCCAGGCTGGTCTCAAATTCCTGACCTCATAATCCACCCACCTCAGCCTCCCAAAGTTCTAGGATTATAGATGTGAGCCACCACGCCTGGCCTATATTCTGATTCTTTGCCCATCTTTTAATTGGGTTGTTAGTATTGATTTGTAAGATTACATATTTTCTCTGTATTATTTTTCTTTTATTATTTTTACTTTTTTTTTTTAGAGGGAGTCTTGCTTTGTCACCCAGTCTGGAGTGCAGTGGCACGATCTTGGCTCACTGTAATCCGCCTCCTGGGTTCAAGTGATTCTCCTGCCTCAGCCTCCCCAGTAACTGAGATTACAGGCATGCACCACCACACCCAGCTGTTTTTTAATATTTTTGGTAGAGATGGGGTTTCACCAGGTTGGCCAGGCTGGTCTCAAACTCCTGACCTCAAGTGATCTGCCCGCCTTGGCCTCCCAAAGTGCTGGGATTACAGGCGAGAGCCACCATGCCTGGCCATTTTTATTTATCTTATAGTAAAACTATAACAAAATAAATATATATTATACATATGTAATTACTGAAAATACAATTCGAATTCAAAGAAAAAAATAAAAACTACGGTCAACTTCTAAATGGGGAGAAATGATGCGTTTTACCACTTTGGAAATGAGTTTTTTGAAAGCCCTGGGCGGGAACTTTCAAGCCCTAAATGAAAATAGCCAGAAACGACATCAGTTGGCCTCTGCTTTCGTGGCAGACTCCTGGGACTGGAGCCCTGGAGACCCCCGGAGCCCTGCCCTGCAGCCCTCACATCACTAAGCCAAAGCCCCAGACCCAAGGAGGTGCAGGTGGTGCAGGTGGTGCAGGAGGTGCTGCAGGCCTGCAGTGGAGGGCTGGGCGGGGAGGAAGGAGACCCAGGGTCAGAGTGCGCAGGGGTGGCTGGCGTGGGAGGAGCCTCCGGCAGGGAGGCAAGGACAGTAAAGCACTTGGAGGCTGGAGGCTCGCCCTGGAGGCAAAAGGGCCCAAAATGAGGAGGACTGGGATGGACAAAGGGTGAAGAGGGACGGGGGGCAGCTGCCAGCAGGCCTGAGGGGCACAGTCTGGGAGCCAGTGAGGGCAGAGGGGCAGCCCTGCCCTCTGTCCCTAGTCAGGCAGCTCTGAGATTCAGAGAGGTTAAGAAATCCATGGCAGGCCACTCGGTTCTTGAGCCTCAGCCTAGCAGCGGGTGCAGCGTGGAGGCTGCCACAGGGGCAGAGCTGGGCCTTTGTGGGACAAGCCTGCAGTGCTGGGTGGGTGGCGGACGCTGACTGCAGGGGAGCGGGCTCCGGCTTTACTGTGAAAACCACGAGATTTTTTTTTTTTTTTTTTTTGAGACAGAGTTGCCTAGGCTGGAGTGCAATCTCGGCTCACTGCCACCTACGCCTCCCAGGTTCAAGTGTTTCTCCTGCCTTGGTCTCTTTTATCGCTGGGATAACAGGTGCCTGCCACCACACCTGGCTAATTTTTTGTATTTTCAGTACAGACAGGGTTTCACCATGCTGGCCAGCCTGCTCTCAAACTCCCAATCTCAGGTGATCCACCGCCTCAGCCTCCCAAAGTTCTGGGATTACAGGCGTGAACCGTCATGCCCGGCTCGAAAACCACGAGATTTAAATGGAACTCTACACACACCCTGGGCTGCCTGGCCGGTGACCCCTACCACGTCCCCTGTCAGCTGTGCACCCACTCATCCCTGCCATCACCTTTCTCCTCAGCCCTCCCCGGCCCCCCAGACGTCCACCCAGAACCAGAGCCTTCCTAGGCACCGCCCCCACCTCAGGCCAGGCACTGCTCAGGCAAGGCCAGGCAGGCAGGGCCTCCTGGCCCCGTCCTCTCTCCCTGCTGAACAGGGAGGCCCACCTCCCAGGGCCTGCCCCACCTCTGGGCAGACTGCTGCATTCTCAGAAATGACTATTCCTTTTAAAGCCAGCCTGTGGCTCGTAAACCCAGTGGCCCTGAGGCAGACACCCGGGTGGCCACCCACGCACTGGCGTCGGCCAAGGGAAGGCTGAGGGTGGTCATCAGCCCAGGATGCCTTCCGCTCCTGGCTTCCTTCCTGGGCCCCACCCACTCCTCCTCCAGGCGCCTGCCCCGTCACCCTGCAGGCTGGAGGGGCAGGCATCAGCTCACCAGCTCTTCAGCTCCTCCCGCCCCCACTGTGCCATGGACCCTGCCTCCCTCCCCTCTGCCCCCCTGCCCCTGAGCCACACCCACCAGCCCACGCCCCAGCCCCCACCCATATGCACCCCCAGCCCACCCAGGTCTGCCCCATGACATGCCTCAGCCTGGCCTGGGCCTGGCTGCCTCCAGCAAAGCTCACTGCCACGTGGGGGCCTAGGAGCCAAACTGCCAAAGAGGATTCATTTACGATCTCTCGGAGGAACAGGGGAGCAGTGACACAGTCCAGGCTCTGAGGCCACCCCAGGAGCATCACACAGAGTCCCGCCTGCACCCAGCTCAGCACCGCCTCCTGACCCCCACACCACAGCGCGCGGTCACTGTTCCTCCCCTTGTGTGGTCTGGGGCGCTCCAGTATGTGCTGCGACAGCCAGACAAGCCCCGGGGCAGCCCCCACCTGGACCCCCATTCTAGGACTCAGCCTTCCCGCTGAGCAGCTGAGGTGTCTTCTGCCCAGGGAGGTCAGCACTGAGAAATCGTGGCACTGGAGAGGCCCATGGCCCCTGCTCCCCTGGCCTCCAGTCAAGGGTGTCAGCCCCACTCTGTCCCTGGGCCTCTGGCCAGCCCACCAGCGGTCGGAGAAGCCTGGGAGGGGAGGGGTTACCCCACAAGGGTGGGGTCTGGAGGAGCCAGACGCAGTTGTCCTCACATTCCTGGCCTCTTCCCCTTGCCCTCCGATGGGTGGAGGTCCTGAGGCCATCTGAAGGCCCCTGGCTCTGAGGGTCCCCCAGGGGTAGCATGCATCTCCTGCAGCAAGCGTGTGGCTTCCCCTGGCGCCTCTGCCCGAAGCCCAGCTCCTGCTGCTGCAGACAAGGCAGCTGAGGCCACAGAGGTGACAGCAGCCACGGTCACACAGCTGATCGGCCACAGATCCAGACTGGCTCCCAGACAAGGGCTGGCGAGGCCTCCCTGCTGCCAGGGGTCTTCCAAAAAGCCAGCCCGAGTGAACAGCATTCCCCTCCTGCAAGCTTCAGGGAATCCTGCTAACCCCAGGGTCACTGCCTGGAGCTGTGCCCAGCACCCGACAGCACTTGGAAAACACCTGAGGGCCGTGCCGATCAGGGAGTCGCACCACCCTCCCCAACAGCGGTGCTACGTGCCCGCCACACCCAGGGGCCACTCATAGCTTGGGGTGCTAGGATGGGACTCAGGGTCACAGAGCGTCAAAGGCAGGGAGCCGAGGTCTGCAGGGCCAGACCTGATGACTTGGGGCAAGCAGACAGAAGCCACACTGGGCAAAGCCAGCCGGGGCTACTGGACAAGCAAACAGTGGGGCACCAAGCAGGGTAGATAAGCCCTGAGCCTCCTGTGGGCCTGGAAGCAGGTGGGCAGCCGGAGCAACAGGAACAAGGGGGCAGAACTGGGTTTTTGCCTCTCCGGGCAGACGGACATGCCCAGGAGGGTCATGGGTGAGGCAGGCACAGCCAGGTGAGATGTGCTGCTGTTTTCCGGACATCCCCGAGAGCCAGTCTTCCTGGACCTCCTGCCCCCGTGCTGTCCCCTCCCTGGATGCTGGAGCCCTGAGGCTCGCCTCTGACCAGCAGAATCTGGCAGACTGACGCGTGACTTCTGAGGGTACATCACAGCCCGGCAATGTCCACTTGGGAGCTGCCTGGGAAGCTTGCTCCCGGACACTCCTTGGGGTGCAGCACCGTGCTGTGAGAAGCCCAGGTGCCCCTTGGGGGCCACTGCGGCCCCCCAGGCAGCTCTAAGACGTGCCACTCAGCAAGCCTGCAGGTCATGCAGCCCCGCTGATGCTGGACACAATTACAACTCTCAAGAAGCCTGTGCCAGCTGCCCAGCGTGCCCGCCAACCCACAGAACCACGAGAGACCCTGAATGCTGTAGTTTGAGTCCTGAGGATCCGCACTGGTCGCTGGGCAGTTCCAGACATCTACAGCAGCGAGATAGTACCAGTGAGCACTGGGCAGCGCCAGGATGGGCAGGGGCTGGCTCGTGGGGTCCCTGTAAGACTGAGCCGCAGACCCCAGATCCCTCCCTGAGGTCCCAGGGGATGGGCAGGCTGGGCATACCTGCAGAGAAGATGTGGCCGGCCACGGCCAAGAATGCATCGGTCACCACAGGCTCGGACTGTAGGGAGATGTGCAGCTGGCGCGCCACGTTGCGGTAAACGCTGGGTCGGATCATCTCCAGCTCATCCCCTGTGTGGGCGCAAGAGCAGGTGAGAGGCGGCCCATGCCCCAGCTCCCTGGGACACAGCTGGCTTGGGGCATACCCTGCACCTGACCCCACCTGGCCGTCCTGTTCCTCATTCAACCTGTCTGACTTTCACCCCCACTTGACCCCATCTGACTTCCCTTAAGCACCCCCCACCTTGGCCCCTAGGGACCAGGAGACCAAGGAAGTGCTGAGGGTGCCCCCAGTCCTGTCCCTCTGAGGAGCCAGCCCCTAGGCTGAGCCGGCCAAGCCGGTGGGGCGGGAATCCTGTGAGAGCGTGGGCTGCGCCTGCTGGTGACTCACGGCCGACAGGCAGCAGAGCTGCCCAGAGCAGAAGGGACCAGGCAGGCGGCCAGAGCCCAACCTGGGGAGGGGCTGGGCAGAAAGCATGGGGGTGAGGGCAGGGGGAAGCCCGAGCGCCTGGCTCAGGGACCACTCAGGTGTGGAGGCTGAGCTGCTGTCCTGGGCCACCCGCAATGCCACACCCACCCCGGCTCCTGCTGCCAAGGGGACATGCTTGGAAGTGGCACTGCATCAGCCCTGCCCTGGAGACCAAGGATAGCCACCGACAGGCCCACCGCGCCCTTGGCAGCAGCAGTGCACAGGCACGGGGCAGATGGTGCCGGGAATGCCACAGGACCCTGGGATCGGGAGTCCCAGCCCAGCCGGCAATCCGGCCAAAGCAAACAGGGAAATGCTGTGGCTGGACCATCCCGACTGATAAGCGGGCCCTCATCCCTGGAGCCAGCTGCTCTGCATCTCATTAATTAAGATCTGGAACCAAAGCAGAGCCCAGGAGAGGGGGGCAGGCATGGGCGGGGGAGGCAGGCGGGGGTGGGGGGTGACATGGAAATTCCCAGGCCTGACCCAGCGGCTCCTCCTAACACAGACCTCCGGGGCTGCTGCAGGCTGGCACCAGACTCAAGGTGGGGACACAACCCAGGCTTCCTAACTGCGCTGGCCGAGGGCAGGGAGGCAGCGCTGGCCTCCAGGGACTGACCCTGAGCAGCTGTGAGGGCAGACTGGTCAAAGTTTTGTCCCTCCGGGGCCCCCTTGGCCATCTGGGACTTCCAGCCATTCCAGGGGTCTGGAATCATCTCAGAAGCCCCTGAAAGGATCCCCTGGGGTCATTCTCAGAGCCCCGCTGGAGACAGCAGTAGGCAGGCGGTCTCACAGAGTCCCACCAACCCCCTCACTCCCACCCAGAGACCTCTCCCTTCTTCCCTTCTCAGCTGGGACTCCATCTCCTCCTGGGGGCTCTGTGCTGTCCCCCATGGATTCTGTCCACGTCACACACGCTCCTGGGGAAGCCAGGTCTACTCAGCTTTGCTCTCCGGGCCCAGCCCACCACACAAGGACAGGGGCCACCCAGAGCCCATGCCAACATCGGCCCAAGAGGAGGCAGTCGTGCCCTCTGACCCTGACCCGCTGCCTGGAGAGCCACGGCTTCAGTTTCTCCTCTGCTGTCACCTCCCCTTCCAGGGCTCGGCCACAAGGGCCTCATGTGCCCTCTCTGGGCACCTAATAAACATTCATGGGTGACAGCCCCAGCCCGGCTCTGGGAAGGGGACACAGCAGGGCCGGTCCCACCCTCTACAGTCCAGGCTTTGGGGAAGGTGGGGACAGCCAGTGGGCTGTGTGTGACCCCAGAACCGAGCACCCCCATTAGTCCTCACAGCACCACTAAATAGGGTGTCGGCTACCCAGCCCGGTGCGCGCAGTTTCCAATAAGGGAGCCTCGGAGGCCATGGAATCCAGAGGGCAGCGGGCGGGATCTCCACCAGTAACAGCAAGGATCTGTTTTCCAAAATAAACATCGGGACACGTGCTCACACAGGGTTCCATGCCCAGCTGAGAACAAGGGTCACTGTGGAAGCTTAGCCACTAACAGATTATCCTTTCTGGAGCCTGCCATTGTTTATGGCCAGTGTGTCTGAAATCCGGGCTGAGCAGGCAGCCGGTGGGGGGGCCTGCGGTGTGGGAGGCCGGAGAGGGCAGATGGGGGGCTCCCGCCCGGGTGGGCCTGTACCGAATGCCTGGCCGTCCCAGTCAGGGGGTGGGCGCCCCTGGGCCAACCCCCCCCACCCCGCCCCCGTCTCGGCCTCGGAGGAGGCTGGGCCCGGCAGGGGGAGGAGGCGCGGCTGGGGGTCCCGCCGGAGCGCACGCACTCACCCAGGCGCAGCAGCACCGCGCACACCTCGGCCAGGCGCCCCGGGAACGGCGCGGCGCGCTCGGGCGCGCTCCAGGAGAGGCCGGCGCGCAGTAGCCGCGCGTGCACGTACTCCCTGCCGAGCGCCTTGGCCTGGGCCACCAGCTCCTTGTCGGTGGGCGAGCGGTCAAAGGCGTCCATGATCTCGGCGGCGAAGACGGAGGAGCGCCGCAGCACCTCCATGGCGGCGACGCGGGCGGGGGGCGCCGCACCTGCGGGCACAAGCGCTCAGCCCAGCGGAGGGGAGCGGAGGGGAGGCGGCGTGGGGCGCGGGGCGCGGGGCGCGGGGCGCGGGGCTGGGCGTGGCCCTCGGGAAGGGCCGCAGCGGCGCCGGGTCCGCGCTCGTGTTTTGTGCCCCGAATCTTTAGACACCCCGCGCCACGTTCTTTAAGGACCCGACTGCGGCCTGAGATCCCCGCGGCCGCCGGGCCGCCCTCGAAGGCGAGCGCGTGGGCGGCGGGGCGGAGGGCGCAGCTCGTCCCCACGGCGACTCCCGGACCCCGCCCGCCTCCGCCGCCCGCGGTCCCGCGCGTGTCCCCCACCCCGCGGGTGCCCCGGGGACGGACGCCACGCCCGCCGCGCTCACCTCTCCCGCCGCATGGCGCGGGCGCCGGGGTGGAGTTCTGGCTTCAGGAGCCGCTCGCCGCCGCCGCCGACCTCGACCCTTCCATTCAGACCCGCGAGGACGCGCGCCCCACCCGGCGCCCGCCCCGTCCACGCCCGAGCCGGGGGCGCGAGGTCCTCCGGGCTTCCCGCGCTCTCCGGGGGCTCCGGCCGCGGCGTCGGGGGCCTGGGCGGCGAGGGGGGCACCGCGCGAGTCGGGGCCGGCGAGAGGCTTGGCCTTCTAAGGGAAAGGGGCTTGGCCTGCAGAGGGAAAGGCAGCCCCGGGGGCGGAGTCGCGAGGCGCGGCCAGAGCTTCCCCGACCGCCTCCCGGCTTAAGGAGGCCCGAGCGAGTTCCCCGGACGCGCCCGGAGAAGGCGACCGGGCCGGAGCTGCCCAGCGAGCGGAGCACCTGGGACCTGGAGCCCGCCCCAGCCGCCTGCGTGCTCGCCGGGTCCACTTGAAATTGGGCTGCCTGTCTTCGTTTGTAGAGGTTCTTTCTGTACTGTGGATGCGCGTGCCCTTTGTATTGTAGATGGATTCTTGGATTCGCATTTATTGACGATATTGCAAATATCTTCCTCTATTCTGTGGTTTACTTTTGGTGATGAACAGGACCCTTAGTGATGTCCAATTTGTCAATATTGTCTTTCTGGTTAGTACCTTTCTGTTAGGATGTTTTCCTGTGTTTTCTTTTAGAAGCTGTTTTAGGGCTCATATTTGGATCTACTGATTGATTACATATTAATTATTGTGAATGGTGTGGTAGGCGCCAGAGCTCCTTTTTTTCCGTGTGGATATCCAATTGACCTGGCATCATTTATTGAAAAGCATTTTTTCCCCACCGAATTGGAGGAGTCCTCAACATCTCAACATAAATCGACTGAAGTGTGTGTGTGTGTGTGTGTGTGTCTGTCTGTCTTCTGTTTCGGGACTCTATCCCACTGGTTTATTTCTGTGTGTGTGTGTGTGTGTGTGTGTGTGTGTGTGTGTGTCTGTCTGCTGTTTCGGGACTCTATCCCAATGGTTTATTTCTTTATCCTTCAATCAACCTCACACAGTTTGAACAATAGGATTAACCAACGTGACCTACTTCACATATGGACAACACTTCCCCCAACAGCTGTAAAATACATATTCTTCCCACGTGCACATAGAATGTTTATCAAAATAAACTATATCATCGTCCTTATACAAGTCTCGGCACGTTTTGAAGGACTGAAATCATACAATGCACTCTCTCTGAATTAAATCAAAAGTCATTAACAGGAAAATTACTGGAAAGTCTCCAAATGCTTGGAAATTACATGGCACAATTCTAAATAATCAGTGGGTCAATAATCACAGTGGAAGGTGTAAAATATGTCGACAAGAACAACAGTGAAAAATATGACATATCAAATGCTCTGCAATGCAACGAAAACACTGCTTAGAGCTTTGCAGCTTTAGAAGAGAGATTGAAAATTAGGCAGAGCGCAGTGACTCATGGCTGTAATCCCAGCATTTTGGGAAGCCAAGGCAGGCAGATCACCTGAGCTCAGTGTTCGAGACCAGCCAGTCAACATGGTGAAAACCTGTCTCTACTAAAGATACAAAAAAATGAGCCGGGTGTGGTGGCAGGCACCGGTAATCCCAACTACTCAGGAGGCTGAGGTAGGAGAATTGCTTGAATCCCAGAGGCAGAGGTTGCAGTGAGCCACAATCATGCCACCACAGTCCAGCCTGGACAACAGAGCAAGACTCCATCTCAAAAAAAAAAAAGAAAAAAAAGAAAAGAAAAAGAAAATTACTGCTCTAAGCTTCAACTCAAGACGCTAGAAAAAGAACAATAAAACCAAAGATGAAAGGAAATAATAAAAATAAGAGCAGAAATTAATGGAATAAAGCAAAAATCAGAAAAAAATCAACTAAGCCAAAAATTAGTTCTTTGAAGATTCATAGAACTGATAAAACCCCTGGAAAGATTAAATAAGAAAAAAGATAATATAAATTTCTTTCATAATAGGAATGAAAAAGAGGACATCACTATAAATACTACAAGCCCTAAAGTGATAATAAGATCGTGTGGAGTCCATTTCGACAGTACATTTGAAATTTTAGATACACAATTTACCAAAACTGACCCTAAAAGAAATAGAAAATCTGGATAGTCCTACACCAATTAAATACATTGAATCTGTAATTTAAAATCTTCCCACAAAGAAAATTCAAAAATTCTAGGTTCAGATGGTTTCATTGAGAAATTCTTCTAAATGGTTAAAGGAACACTGCCGGTCTTATACGAACCTGTCCAGAGACTAAAAATGAGGGAGTATTTCCCAACTCATTTGATGAGGCCAATATAACATTCATACCAAAACCTGAACGGAACATTACGGGAAGCGAGGAAAGCTATGGAACCTCTATGTGCTGTGACTTTCCTATCTGGAGAGTAGAGAGAATAATCATACCTACCACCTAGGATTGTTGCGAGGACTTAATTATTAATCCGTGCCATGTAGTGAGGGCTCAGTCATTGTCAGCTGCTTTTTCAGAAACGCTACACTGTAAAATCTGAGGGTGCATTTTAATGAACATTTTTTTTTTTTTGAGATGGATTCTCATGTTGCCCAAACTGGAGTGCAGTGGCACAATCTCAGCTCACTGCAACCTCCGCCTCCTGAATTCAAGCGACTCTCCTGCCTCAGCCTCCCAAGGAGCTGGAATTACAGGTGTCCACCACCCCACCCGGCTAGTTTTTTATACTTTCAGTAGAGACGGGTTTTCACCGTGTTAGCCAGGATGGTCTCAAACTCCTGACCTTGTGATCTGCCCACTTTGGCCTCGCAAAGTGCTGGGATTACAGGCATGAGCCACCACGCCCAGTGAATGAACTCTTTAATGCAGAGTCTAGAGCTCCTTGGACAGTGTGTGCCTTGAATTTCTGAAGAGCAGTCCAGTTCAGGATTCCCTGTATTTTATAGCTAGCATTACAGAGATGCAGAGAGGGAAAAGATCTCACCCACGGAGTCACTGCAAGACTGGGCACGGCCAGACTGGACACCCTGGGGTCTGAGTCCATGGCTCCTGAAGTACCTCTGTCAGGCGCAGAGCCTATACTTTTAGGCAGGAGATCAGGGAGTTCACACCTGCAACCAGCCTCGGGCAACTTCCTGCCCCATTCACAGGCTCAGTTTCCTCCTGTGCAAAAGGAACTCATGCTTCCTGTCTCGTGTTGGAGTTGCCTCCTGGGCTCTGACATGGGGGTAGTGGTCCATTGGGCATAATTGGCAAATGTGTTCTGTACCCCAGGAGCTGCAGAAACCAGGTAAAGCTGTGTCTCAGGATGCTCAGTACAGAACGTGGCTGGCAATAAGGAACTGGAAATGACCTAAGAGTTTATCAAGAGGAGATCAAGCCCAGCACGGTGGCAGCTACTTGGGAGGCTGAGGCAAGAGGATTGCTTGAGCCCAGGAGTTCAGGGCTGTAGTGCCCGTGAATAGCCACTGCATTCAGCCTGGGCAACTTGGCAAAGATTCGTTTTTTAAAGAAATTTTAGAGAGAGGCGCAGTGGCTCATGCCCGTAATCTCAGCACTTTGGGAGGCGGAGGTAGGCAGATCATGAGGTTAAGAGATCGAGACCATCCTGGCTAACACAGTGAAACCCTGTCTGTACTAAAAGTACCAAAAACTAGCCCAGCGTGGTGGCATGCGGCTGTAGTCCCAGCTACTTGGGAGGATGAGGCAAGAGAATCGCTTGAACCTCGGAGGCGGAAGTTGCAGTGAGCCAAGATCTCGCCACTGCACTCCAGCCTGGGCAACAGAGTGAAACTCCATCTTAAACTAAAAATAAAAAGAGAGAGAAGATTAGGAGATTAAGCAATCTGGAGTACCTCAACTGCAAACCCTTATTCAGACCTTAAAAAGCTTGGGTCTCAAGCCTGTAATCCCAGCACTTTGGGAGGCCGAGGCGGGTGGATCATGAGGTCAAGAGATCGAGACCATCCTGGTCAACATGGTGAAATCCCGTCTCTACTAAAAATACAAAAAATTAGCTGGGCGTGGTGGCGCGTGCCTGTAATCCCAGCTATTCAGGAGGATGAGGCGGGAGAATTGCCTGAACCCAGGAGGCGGAGGTTGCGGTGAGCCGAGATCACGCCATCACACTCCAGCCTGGGAAACAAGAGCGAAACTCTGTCTCAAAAAAAAAAAAAGTTTGGATCATACTGGAGTCAGCTGAGGTCTTCCTGTCCATTGAGGCCTGGAGGAGGCCCAGTCCCAGCCCCCAAATCCCAAGAGTGCTTTGACTTCTTGGGAGCCTACGTTTCTCCGGTCACCTTTGTCCCTGCTTTTCTGTCCCTGCAGAATTCTTGCATCCACCCTTGCCACGCATCTGATGCCTGTCTCTGCCCCAGTGTTGATCTAGCATGGAACTCGGTCCCTGGTTGGTGAGTAGGCTCCTGAGTGCCGACACCAGCCCCAAACTGGCTTAGGCACAGGGCCGTTTGTTGATTTGCGTGACCAGAGCGAGGTCCGTTGGTTTCAGGCGTGGCTGGGTCCAGGAGTCTCCTGTCTGTGCTCCTCTGTGAGGGCTGCACTCTCACACAGGCTGTCGTGATGTAATTGCAGAATAAAGCCCACAGCTCCCTGTCTATACCTTGAAAGTTCAGGCTTTGCCAGTGGAAAAAAGTCGGGCTCTCCAGGTAGCTCTGGGGGATCCCCTGGGGTGGGCAGCTTCTGTGCTCTGTCCACTTCTGAGCCAGCTATGGCTGGCATGGGGAGGGTGCTGAGTGGTCAGGCCTGTGTCTCATACCTGGCCCTGGATGGTGTAAGAGGGCGGACCCCGTCAACGCCTGTGGAATGTGACCAGGAGGATGCTGGATTTCCATAAGAGCCTGCTCACTCAAGGCTGCTGTGTGGTCACAGGGTTGGGCGCAGAGGGTCCATAACCCAGTAATGCCCACATTCAACATTCTAAATTCAGCCTTGGGCCTTTCCCAGCCCAGCCATTCGCGGCCTGGCTCCTCTGTCTTGCCTCTTGTGACTCCTGCTTGCCTCCTCCACCCTGGTTCTCTCCCCTCCTCGGCTCAGGACCTGCCCTACAGAGCCGACCCCTGATGGCACAGAACGGGAGGGTCCTGGTCG